CAGTAAACATTACAATGCTTTCATGTGCAAAATATCAAATTTTTTTATTAAGTCTTAAGGTTTATAAAGCAATGTTTTTCTCTTGTCTTTTTTTTTCTTTTTAAATGTTGCCTATCTATCATGCAAAGTAATATTCATTTTAAGATAAAAAAATACTTTTATGCATCAGAAAATTTTGAAATTTCACATGCAAAACCTTTATAATGTTAAGATAGTTATCAAACATTTCTTAAGAAAAAACTTTATATTTTATCTGTTATTTTCATAAATAATCTCAGTACGGGTTTGGTAGATTTGACCGATCTCGCAACTACCATAAAAATTAGGAAATAAATATAAATTATGTCTCTTTCATTCCAGAATGAACACAAATTATAACACGAAAACATAAATGTTTAGACTAAATAGCTTAAATCTCATAACATTATACATTTATATATATATTTATTATTTTTATTATGTTTACCTTTCAGCCCATGCTTGGCTAACAATACAGAAGTTACAATGACTTGGCTCACATGCACTCATGTTACTGTATCAAATAACATAAAACTGACCTATGGTCTGTGCAAAGTAACTTGTCTTGGCTGTGTTTTAGTAGACTAGTGTTTTATAAAATACAGTCACATTTCAATTATTATACATTATACATGTATGTAGATAATATTGCTATTTTGAAATAAGTTCTTAAACTTATTTTTCTTAAAACATAAAACAGTAACTAAAGAAGAACAGCAAACAATTATCTATTCTAGTTATGTATTACATTATATATGTATATAGATTATTGATATTTTTGAAATAAGTTCTTAAACTTATTTTTCTTAAAACATAGAACAGTAGCTAAAGAAGTAATGCAAATAATTATCTATTCTAGTTATGACCTTTGTACTCAGTAGCTCCTTGATGTAGGTTACTAAGCCTTAAAAAATTTCACATTTGAGGATATGAAACAAAATATTTTTTTTAGGTTTCGTATATGCATTTGAATAACTAAAAAATAATAAATTACTACATTAATGCCATAGAATCCCACTACAATTTATTAAGCTTAGTAACTAAGATGTATTTTAGTTTAAAAAAATATTAAATTTTGAGCATACTAAAGACACACCCTATCTCGTTGAAATATTGGTTCAAAAGAAAGAATTGGCACCAAGTCCATTAAAATGGTTGAGAAAGCCACTACTGTATATAAAGGAGCATTTCCATAAATGGAAAAAGGGGGAAGAGTGCCACTGTGTTTGATTTATTACATGAGGAATATCTTATCAAATTGAAATGGTAAGGCTCTTATTTTATATTCTAGTTCATCAATATTGATAATTTGAGTTTCTAATTTGTTTGAAACTATAGACTTAGTATTTTGACTTCACAAACTTCTAATTTGAACCAGTGCTGCATTCAACATACCATGTGACTCAAAAATCGATGTTTATCTGTATTTTTTAATATTTGCTTTTAAATTAAGAAATTGATTAATATATAGTACTAAAATTTGAATTATAATCCACAGTTTGATACCCAAATTTATTGACATAAATTCATGAAATAGTAGTTCATTAAAATTTTGAATGTGAGTCAATAAACGAGATGGCATAGCCTTTCACCTATGACCCGTCTCGAAAGGGTTAAGATAGTGTTGCAGTG